AAATGTGCAGTGACTAGTTATTAAGTGATATGTAATAAATCGATTTACTACTCAATATTGATCCTATATTCTGCCAAAGCTTTTGAGTTAGTATCTTTCCCTGCATGGTTTTAGCAACTTGGAGGAATATCTGCACACAGTAATTTCACCACCAATACCTGAAGCTTCTCTGCCCGCCATTGTAAAGGTTCTAGCGGTGGACGTCTGTAGTTTTAAGTGAGTTATCCATTATGAAACACTGGCAGCAATGGGCGCGGCTGTCTCTCATTAGTAGCAGTTGGTCCAATCTGAAGAAATATTCAATTCCACAAAGGCCGGAGCCATCGGAGGAGTATTAAGGAAAAAAAATCAATCCGGAAACTGAGAATGTATCTTTAAATATTCAGTAGCTCACAAGCACACAGAGCCTGTCAGTTTCGCAGAGTAAAACACTAGCTCTGATCAGCAGTACTAAACTTGCCTGTGAAAACCTATAACAGTTCCAAATGGTTTAAAAAAGAAGGAAAAGCTTGAGTAGACCCCAAAGAGGCTTATCCGAGTTAGAGGAAGAGAAAACCAAGGATAAGTACCCTTCCCCAGAAGATACCAATTAGGCTCATATTGATGAAAAGCATTGGTAGTAGTGAAACTACCCAAAGCCTTTCAGCCCCACCATGGTAATAAGCAGCAGGAAGCAAAGGTTGATAGATGTTGTTGGGACTGGAAGATTGTTAGCAGTAGGATTCAGCAGGAGTTGATACGCAGTCCTTTTTTCATTTTAAACTTCATGTTAATAGTTTAGACTCAAATATAGGGGCATAATAAAGAAGCACACAGATGATGATACAAAATTTGGCCATGTGGTTGGCAGTGAATGGAGGAAAGATTTAGGCTGCAGGAAGGTATAGTTGGGAAGGAAAATGGAAAACGGAATTTGGTTTGAAGCAGGATCTAATGCACTTTGGTCAAGGCAGGGGAAGACACAATAGGTGACTGAGTAGTGTGACTGAACAAGGGGATCCTGATGGATTCCAAGGATCTTTAAATATGGCAGAACGGAAGACTTGTGCCATCCCTTCCATTATTACAAAGGCACGGAATATAAGCACAGGGATTTTCTGCAAGTCTGTATACAACATTACCTAGGCCATAAGTGTACTGCATAGAGTTCTGCTCACAACATTACGGGAAAGATGTGACTGTGCTGAGAGGAGACAGAGAATGTAGCTGAGGTGGAAGTTTGGATCACTCGGTCGTATTTTCCATGGAACAGAGGAGATTTGTGGTATTTAAAGTTGAGGGGCCTAGTTAGAGTAAATGGGTAGACCCATTGCACAGTATTGGTAAAAGGATTAGAGGGGAAAATAAGGAAGCAATATTTCATGCACAGAGTGGCAGTCATCTAGAACTCCCCATCTGCAAAGGTGGTAGAGGCAAAAACATCTGTGACTTTTGAAATGTACTTGAACATCTACGTGAAGAACTGTGACCTTCAGGACTTTGGATTTAATGGAAGAAGCTGGGATTAGACTGGACATGGACGCAAAAGGGATTAAAGAACAGGCCCTTAGGCCATCCAAAACTGCACCAACACATACATATCTAAACTAAAAACCTTCTGCCTCTACACGCTCCATTTCCCTCTATTCCCTGCCTATTCATTAAATAACAAAACTGGATGAATGACCTCCTTCTGTGTCATAGGGTTTTTTTTATGATTCCTAACTGTTCAATGGCTGTAAGCACCAACAAGTAACTGCAAACTAACATGCTAACACCAGGTAAAGCCAGCCCGTACCTTTTTAAGGGGAAGCGTTTCATGGTTAGAGCAGTTGTTGGTAGACATGTAGGAAATGGATATGACCTGGTAACAGCAAAGTACAGGACTACATGAGAGCGAGAGTAGGCTCAGAGTTTCACATATCACATTGGCAGCCTTGGTGGCTGATGTGGAAAGCAGGTGAGAGACTTTATATTCACAGGGTACCAAGGAGCCCACCAGATAATGATGAAAAAGCAGTGGGAGATAGCCATGGAAGTCAGTATCTAGGAGGCAAGTTTATGGTACTGGATGGAGTGCCTCTGACAAGTAGTCAATATCAGTGAATTCATCTTCAGATGCCATATCCTACCAACTGCAACACTAGTTCTGAAACTGGACCACATCCCCATCATTCAACATGTAAGGATCTCTCTCAATCAGGACTCTTCTTGGATATTCCAATATAATACTCCACTTTTATACAATGTTGTGAACCTCATCAGGCATGCAAGCTGTAAGATGTGGTTATCAGCTATTTACCCATGATGGCTGCATCAGCCAAACAGGTCGACAGCACTCACTAACTTCGTCTCACTTACAGCAGAAAATGGGAGACAACTGGAGGTAGGAGTTGACCAAAGGGGATAGGTGCACCTGCATGTTCTGGCTGCCCATCAAAACCACTCTTCCAGAACCCCTCAACCCCTAAATATTTTCACCATCCTGACTTGGAAATATATTACAGTCCTTCTAGGTTTTAGATCTGGAAACTGCTTTCCTATTGAAAATGTGGTGGGCCTAACTACAGCACATGGACTACAGTTGTTCAAGAAGGCAGCACACCATCACCTTCTCAGGAGCAACAACGGATGGGCAATAAATGTTGGTCTAACCAATGATACTCAAATCTCCTGAATGAATCCAAAAAAACAGTGCTGGCCCATACTTAAATGGCCATTGCTGAGGTCATTGTGGGATTGAAATATTGAACATTATAACATCCTCATGCACAATACTATTCTTAGTCACACAAATCAGCAGCCACACACTTTATAAATTGCAGCTGGTTTAAATATACGCCACTGACTTCATTACCTCCCTGTAATAAAACATTTTCCCTTAAGTCCTTTTGCTTTCAGATATCCAAGAGGTGCAACCTTGCTAGGTAGTGAAGGAGTACCATGAAGACAGATGTTTGTGATGCATTGTCACTTGATTTACTCCTCATGCACGTTAGCTCAGTTATTGTCATTTCTTCGGTTTTAGAGCAGGGATTTACACATGATGAGATACTGGGCCACGCGTAGCTGCAGCCAGGAAGGAGGACTACGATGTGTGCCAGCTCACCATTCATTCTGCAGTAGAGGATACAAATGAGTACTTGAGTGAATGAGGCTGTTAGTTACGCACAACAAATTTTTGGAAGAATTAGCAGGCCTATTAGAAAACTGGTCAATGTTGAGTATGGAGAAAGCCGGCACCTATTTGGCACAAGACTTTGTATGGCATTTCAGAGAATCCCTACAGCATGGAAGCAGGCCATTCGGCCCCTCGAGTCCACACCACTCCTGTGAAGAGCATCCCGCCTCGACCTACACACACACTCCTACCCTGTCCCCGGAACCCTGGATTTCCCTTGGTTAATCCAACTAGCCTGTACATCCCTGGACACGATGGGAAATTTAGCATGGCAAATCCACCTAACCTGCACATCTTTGGACTGTGGTAGAAAACTGGAGCACCCTGGGGAAACCCAAGCAGACACGGGGAGAATATGCAAACTCCACACAGACAGTGACCCAAGGGTGGAATTGAACCCTGGTCTTCGGTGCTGTGAGGTAGCAGTGCTAACCACTGAGCCACTGGGCTGCCCATCTGAAATCCATCTTTTGCAGCATAAAAATGTGGTCCAACTTTGGTTAACTAATTGTGGTCCCAAAAATTATGTATCTTCTGAGACTGAATGTCACACTTCTATCAAAACACAAATACCTGCACCACAACTAAGTATTACCTGGAAGCTCTGATTGCTGTCATGCAAGGTTGGCTTGCTGCCATGCAAGCTCAGACTGAGACTGGGGATTACAGTGTGCAGAGAAACTGACCGAGAGGAATTGCATCCAGCAATCTGTCCTCCAGCAGATTATGAGAAATGCTGAGACGCTGATTCAGTGGAGTAGTATTGGCTCCAAAAAGCATGAACTTGCTGTCTTCTTGCCATATGTTAGTATTTATCCTGCTGCTTTACCAGTGCCTTTGTTGTCACCCATCAGCTAGCAACCTCAGCCTGCTGCTCTCCATGTCAAGATGGGGCAGTGCACTACACAGCTGAGCTTTCTAGAATTAAAGCTGCTGAAGGCTATCTGCAATCTCCTCCACTGAAAGTCATCATCCAGCAAGCTCAAGATTTGCGATGACACTGTTTAGGAGCACCAGAAAGTATAAGGTCATGTTGAAGGGTGGTAATGAGAAAATGCATAAGGATGAGTAATTGAGTGCTGTGTACAATATGGGATGATTTTCTTTTTAAATTTGGTTTAGAATATTGATTGTGGAAATGTTAATTTTGCATTGAGCTCAAATGGGTGCTGTGCTGCTCAGTGACGAAGAGAAGATGTGAAATTGTTGTTGAATGGAAAATTAGGGATTCAGGTTGCTGAATTTTGCATTCACAGGAGTTACACAAGGCCAAGAAAGGGCTAATTCAATTGCTTCCTGAATTCAGCTATAATCCTATCGCATATTCCTAGATCTCAGCGACACTAAATGTTTCTTTCTTACGAGACCATAATTCATTTTACTCATTTTTCTTTTTCTTTCCTGAACTAATTTCAACTCCCCCCTTAGAATGTGAAAAAGGCTGAGGGGACATAAGAATTTACGTAGGAAAGGAGGCAAGAGAATTCCAGAAGTTTCCAAATTTCTGTCCAGCATGTAATGTGTTATTTGGTACAATGCTGTTGTCATTGTCATATAAATACCATTGTCATTACAAACCAGTATATGTTCCAACCCACAATGAGCATGATCACAAGATCCTTGTAGGTTTGAATCTAATAACAGTAGTAATCAGAGTTAAATATAATGTTTATTTGCTGGTCCATGTTGCTTAAAATCATCCCTTGCTAATGTTGTTTGCAATCGATAAGCAAAATGTGCCATTTAATCACAAGACTATTTCTTTCATAAAATAATGTTCCATCATTGCTGTGAATATTTTTTTTTGTCAGTTATGTTTCTTGTTCTTATTTTTTACCAGTTCAAATTTAGCAAGCTCCACAAGATTGAAATCAGATGCAGTGCTGATGTGTACAATGAATTACTCACAAAGGTAAATTGAAAGTTACATATGATGTGCAAGATTCAAGAATGAAAGAAAATGAAACATGGTATGATATGTTGAGCCTTCATTGCCATATCACCCACTAATCTACAAAGTTAATCTGAATCCTCCTCCTCCTACCTTGATTCTTCTCGTTATACACTGATCACTTTTATGTCCCGTGTCACCATTATGTTTAATGTTAGTTCATATATATTTCATACTTTAATTACATAAATTATTTTCTGCTCTTTATCACCCATTATTGCTCAAACCTGATATCCAGCCAATGATTTAGTGACTTCTCATCCTTGGCTGGATTGACAAGCTTCTCATTCCAGATCTTCCAAATGTAACAGGATGTCAGTTTGAATTTTGATTAAATTCCAGTTTGAAGACTTTTGACTGTGAAGGTATGATAAAGTAGGATTTGCTACTTGAATATTGACAAGTCTTAAATTAGCTTTCATTTATTTTAATTGTAAAGTAAAATTACGGATGAGTGACAAATGCTGGCTCAACTAGTTGTTATGCTAATATCTTGTGAATAAATATATATTTAAAAAATGTTATACCAGTGATTGGACTCTGGATTCTTATTCAGTTGAATCTACAGAACTACCTAATCGCATGAAGTTTGAAAAAAAAACAAATTGGTTGAGTAATGGATGCAAGATCAAATTTCATCACTTATGAGCAACTATCTTTTGCCATGAACATTGAGGCTGTTACTGAAGAGTATTTTGTATGGCATGATAAGTTGCTCACTTTGAGACCTAAGCCTGGAAATGACTTTGTGACGCTGGTGGATAAAGTTAACACATTCATTTGTCATTCTTTAGCCTGCTGTTGTAATGGATGTGTTAGCCCATTAATTTTAAACAGTTTTACACCCCTATTAAAACTAAAGACTTGGAATAGCTTACAGATGGAAGTGCATAACAATTTTGCTGTTCATATTGCCAGCTTAAAGCATGTTTTGGCGTAGCAAAAGGCAAGTTAAAATGTGTATAATTTTGCAAATAACTTGTCATGGTGGAAATGGCTGCTTTCCTTCCAGCTCAGGGAATATCTAATCATATATGCAGTGACTTTTTTTAAATTATTCACTTTGTGGGATGTGGGCATTGTTGGCTGGCCAGCATTGATGATCTGTTCCTAGCTGCCCTTGAGAAGGTGGTGGTGAGCTGACTTCTTGAACCTCAGCAGTCCACCTGCAGTGGGTTGACTCATGATGCCATTAGGGAAGAAATTCCAGGATTTTGACCTAGCAACTGTGAAGGATCAGCAATATATTTCCAAGTCAGGATGGTGAGTGGCTTGGAAGAGAACTTGAAAGTGGTGATGATCCTTTGTCTCTGCTGCCCTTGTCCTTCTAGATGTTGTAGTTTTGGAAGGTGCTGTCTGAAGATCATTGTTGAATTTCTGCAGTGCATCTTGTAGAGAGTACACACTGCTGCTACTGAGTGTTGGTTGTGGAGGGAGTGGATGCTTCTGAATATAGTGACAATCAAGGGGGCCTTCTTTGTCCTGAATGGTATCAAGTTTCCTGAGGGTTGTTGGAGCTGTACCAATCCAGGAAAATGTGGAGTATTCCATCACACTCCTGACTTGTGCCTTTGTAGATGGTGGACAGGCTTTGAGGAGTCAGGAGGTGAGCTACTTGCTGCAGTATTCCTAACCTGGGATTTGCTCTTGTAGCCACTGTGCTTATGTGACAAGTCCAATAGAGTTTCTGGTCAATGATAACCCACAGGATGTTGATAATGGGGGATTCAGTGATGATAACACTATTGAATGTTAAGGGGTGGTGGTTAGATTGCCTCTCATCAGTGATGGTCATTACCTGGCATTTATGTAGGGCAAATGTTACTTGCCACTTGTCAGCCCAAACCTAGGTATTGTCCAGATCTTGTTGCATTTGAACATGGATTATTTCAGTACCTGAAGAGTTGCAAATGGTGCTGAACGTTGTGCAATCATTGGTGAATATCCCCACTTCAGACCTTGCAATGGAGGGAAGCTGAAGGTGGTTGGGCCTAGTGCACTACCTTGAGGACCTCATCCAGAATTCCTGTCCTGGAGCTGAGATTACTGACCTCCGACATCCAAAACCATCTTCCTATTGCCAGGTATGACTCTAACCAGTGGAGAGTTTGTCCCCTGTTACACTTTGATGTATGGCATCAGGTAATTGTATTTATTTAAAGATACTTCAGACTGCTGGAAAATGTGTAATTAAAATGTTAAAATTCTGAAATGTGCTTTGACCACTTCTAAATCTCTTCATAATTCCTCTATCTATTAAATATCCTTTTCAGGAAAGTAGTCCTTAGTATAAGCTCCATTGCATATTGAACCAAGACAAAAGATGAATGGCCTGTGAATTAACCTTGTCAGGGTTATATTTGTCTTCTAAGATTGGCTGCATAGGTTTAATTTTTACTTTATCTTCTGACTACTGAGGAAGGTACTATGCAAAACTTTGCAGAACACTCGCTCTGATTGGAAACTAACTGGATTAGAATATGGAAATATGAGAATAGAGTTGGTGATGATGAGCTATTTGTGAACCGTTGAAAGGAAGGGGAAGTTAGAACTGAGGTAATTGTGAAAAAAAGATTTAAGGTTAGAAGTTTAAAGGGGAATGCCAGAAGTAGCATTAAGAGAGTTGAAGAAATGTCTTGAGGAAATGGGAAGACTGATCAAGGCAAGAATTAAGCTGAAAAAAAGGTTGTTGCGTGGTCAGGAGTGTATCAATAGAATGATTGATGGATCCCATGGAAGAAATGAGATGGAAGACAAATAAAGATGGAATAAAACACTGGTGGTGTACACGAGTGTGGAGAGATAGCTGCACGAGGATATAGCTTTAATTGTTGAGGCAAATCCATTCATTTTATCGCAACAGGTGTCGGAAGTGAAGATGCCCAAGAGGGCATTTGTAGGAGGCAGTTGAGGATTTTGAATTTCTTTTGCCCTCTGAAACAATTGTTAGACATAGAACATAGAGTACAGCACAACAGCAGGGCTAACGGCCCACCACTATGCCATTCTAAACTAATACCATCTGTCTGCGCATGGTCCATATCCCTGTATTCCCTGTCTGTTCATGTGTTGGTCTAAACGCCTCTTAAATGTTGCTATCGTATCTGCTTCTACCACATCACTTAGCAGTGATACAAGCACCTCCCAACCTCTGTAAGACAAACAATTTCTTTGCACATCTCCTTTTAAACTTTTCCTCTCTCACTAGAAACCTATGCACCCTAATATCTGACATTTCTACACTGGGGGAAAAAGACTCCAACTACCCACTCTATCATAGAGTCATAGAGCTGTACAGCATGGAAATAGACCCTTCAGTCCAACTTGTCCATGCTGACCAGATATCCTAAATAAATTTAGTCCCATTTGCCAGCATTTGGCTCATCCCTCTAAACCCATCCTATTCATCTACCCATCCAGATGCCTTTTTAAATGTTGCAATTGTACCAACCTCTACCAATTCTTCTGGCAGCTCATTCCACACATGCACCATCCTCTGCGTGAAAATGTTGCCCCTTAGATCCCTTCTAAAATCTTCTACCCCTCACCTTAAACCTGGACACACCTGTTCCCTCTGTCCCCGCTTCAGAAGTCAGATTGGTCTCCCTGGGAGTCAACCCAAGGAAAATGGCAGGCCCGGACGGTGTCCCCGACTGAGCACTCAAATCCTGTATGGACCAACTGGCGGAGGTATCTACCGACATCCTCAACCTCTCCCTCCTACAATCTGAAGTCCTCACCTGCTTCAAGAAGACCACCATCATCCCTGTACCTAAGAAAGTACATGCAACGTGGCTGAATACTACTGTCCAGTGGCTCTGAACTCAATCATGAAGTGCTTCGAGAGGCTGGTCATAGCTGACATCAACTCCAGTTTCCCAGCCTGCCTCAATCTTCTACAATCTGCCTACCAATGTAACAGGTCCACAGAGGACGTCATATCCCTCTCCCTGCACTCATCCCTGGAACATCCGGACATCAAAGACATCTACATCAGACTCCTGCTCATTGACTGCAGCTCTGTTTCAACACCATTATTCCCTCCACAGTGGTCTTAAAACTCTGTGACCTTGGTCTTGGCTCTGCCCTCTGCAACTGGATCCTCAGCTTTCTGATCCACAGACCACAATCAGTGAGGGTAGGTAACTGCACCACCTCCACACTCAACACTGGAGCCCCCCAAGTATGCATCCTCAGCCCCCTACTGTACTCCCACGCCTGTGTTGCCAAATTCGGAATGAACGCCATCTACAAGTTCGCTGATGACACCACTGCATTGGGACAGATATCTAACAATGATGAGTCAAAGGGAGGTAGAGAGCTTGGTGACGTGGTGCAACTAAAACAATCTGTCTCTCAACGTCGGCAAAACTATAGAACTGATCATTGACTTCAGAAAGAAGGAGAACATGCTCCCATCTACAATGGAACTGAGGTTGAGAGAGTGAAGAGCATCAAGTTCCTCGGAGTGACGATGACTGACAACCTAGATTTCCCACGTAAATGCGACAGTCAAGAAGACACAACAATGCCCCATCTTCCTTAGGCGGCTGAGGAAATTTAGCAATGTCCATAAGGTCCCTCCCCAACTTCTACAGATGCACTGTTGAAAGCATAGTGTGTGTGTATGTAACAGACTGGTGTGGAAACTGTTCTGCCCAGGATCGTAAGAAACCACAGAAGGTGGTGTGCGCAGACCAGACCATCACAGAAGCCAACCTTCCATCCACGGACTCCATTTACATGGCTGGTTACTGTGGAAAGGCTGCCAACATCATCAAAGATCCATTGCACCCCAGTAATGATCTCGTATAATCTCTTCCATCAGGCAGAAGATACAGAAGCCTGAACACACTTGCAAGCAGATTCAGGAACAGCTTCTTTCCAGCTATTATCAGACTGATGAATGAACTCTAGTCTCAAATAATGCTGACCTTGCTAACATTGATCTCACCTAGCGC